TGATATAAGAGTTTTAGAGTCCATATCTTGAAAATAAGCGTGCAGCTGAGGTCACATTATTGAAACGAACGATACTGAGTTTGTAGAACTAAGATTGAAGGTCTAGAAAAGATATATTCCCACCGAATAGGAAATACGTGTATACAGATGCTTTGCGGAGACTGGGACTGTCAACAGAGCCGAAATTCCGTGTAGTAGTAGTTGCGCGGTCTTGCGATAGATAGTGCTGGCATATGTTAGATAAGAACAGATGTATGCGTTTGAGTAAGACAAAATGATACATATTATATAATATAATGTAAAAACTAAATTAAAGATGTCGCCACTATTATCGAAATTGGAATTAAAAAAGTCTGTACTATCGACCTTGATTGAGTTGGGTAATCGGTTTAGCATCCCCTTAAATATTAGAAGAAGAAGAAGAAGAAATGGAACTAAGATGGTGAATGAGAATACCTACATATCTAGTGCCTTATATCTACTTTTTCTAGGTTAGGGTTCTCGATCTAATTTATTGCAATGCTACTTACAATTTTGATTATTTTTTAAGACACACGCAGGGTTAACTACCGAGAAAGAAATGTTTCTTTGCAATCTTTGCTACATGGTTAAAGAAAAGTTTTTTGATTTCAATATCATTTCTTTGATTTGAACATTATTTTTTTAAATCAAATAAAAAAATGTATTTGATTTAAAGAAATTATGTTCAAATCAAAGAAATGACGTTCAAATCAAAGAAATTTTTTTTTAACCGTATAGCAAAGAAACATTTCTTTGAATTGAAGAAACCTTTCTCTGAGTATTGTTAAGCAGAGAGTAAATTAAATTAATTAGATATTAAATGTTAATAATAGTTGATCAATTAAATAAAATAATATCATGGCAAATAAAATTTTCTTCTAAAAAATTATTGTCTAAAATTAAAAAAATATTTGTATGTTAGCAAATACATCAAATGTACATATGTTTTCAGAAATGTACCCATATGTTTGATAACATATTTCAGAAATCATGATAATCTTTAAAGTATAATACTTGAAATAGTTAATACTGGAAATAAGTTCTCATAATTATAATTATAATACTTGAAATAGTTAATACTGGAAATAAGTTCTAATAATTATTGTACA